TGAATCAGATGTTTGTATAGTATATGATCCTTATTGTTTATTTAGTGGTCGTATTCCTTGGCCTATGCACCTGATGCAAAGGAGTTTGTTTTGGGGCAGTGCGTGCACTTTTCTTATCACCACAGTTACTACCATTAATTCTACATGATAATTTCATAACAAAGATAAGACTCTGGATACTGTATTGGGTATGTGTTTGAAATTCATAGATCTTCCATTTATATTTTCCCTGTACAGTGAAATGATTGTCAGTTTGTGCAGGGAGAAAGAATTACAGTCCCACAGTTTATCAGCCATACAAGCCTTAGTTTATATCAACTGCTGAAGACTTACTGATACCGTGTCAGTTTATAGACCTTCTTGAGGCCCATAGCTGATAAAACCTATTTTAGATCCAGTCATTCAATGTGCATAAAAGGCAATCAGAAAATGAACTAGGAAATCCTCAGTATTTTTCACATCTTTAGTTTTCACCTGACATCTACAACTCTATAGTCGGTTCTATAAGTGATAATACATAAACAACTTAATTTCCTCGGCTGATACGCATCTCACCCCGCAGTCAATGGTCTGAATGAAAGACTCCCAGCTGGATGATTAGATTTAAAGTGCGACAGAGCTTGCCTACAATATGTAAAGAGGCAACATGCATAAAATAACAGACAGGAGTTTGAGATATAGACAGATCCACTGAGGGAGTCAATTTAATTTGAAATCCCAATGGAACATGGAACAAGGCTGAACTCTATCACCATCTCTCCCTCTGTAACATACATGTACACAAAGTAGTGCATCTGTCTTGTGCAGGTTGATTTCCCATGGCTTTAAATGTGATGTCTCAATCTGTTTACTGTCATATTAACACTGGGGAGAACCCTAAGCCCCCATCAAACTCACATACAAGCCCCGTGTATTCTGCAGGATGTATCGTACACTCTCCCACCTGGGGCCTTGGCGCTTCCTTGACATCTTTCATTGTACGCTATAATCCTATGAATTTGTGAGCATGCAAGCCAGTGTGTGAGCGTGACTGTGTGCATGTGCCATTTTAGCAGGGAGTCGGCCCCTCCGCAGGTGACATTTTTACTGGAGAAATATCACCATAGCCATTTTCTTCCCATATGTTTCTGTGAGCTTGTGTGTGTGATGGGTGTGAGAGTGTTTGATTATGTCTTGGCAAGGTTCACTTGATTTCACAGGAGAGATTTTCTTTCCAAACCATAGCAATGATGGCAGGGGCTGCTTATCAGCAAACATGTCAGAAAGACAAGTTATGCAGGGAGTTTAAAAATTTGCGTTAAGACTGGAAGACTGCAAACGAGGGAAGCAGATACCCTGGGTCTGTACAAATGCAACAAAACCCCTGAGTTCGCATAGTTAACAATTGTTTGTTTATTCTGTGCAAAAACTGAAATGTAACAACAGAGTAATTCTTGGCTAAGCGCTAAACTAGCTGTAGATGTGTAAGAAATATGTACAGTTTCTTTAAATTGACTTGGGGTTTTTCTTTCTCTTTGTCACGGTTGATTCAGACTGGTCAAGCTACCAGGCTGACAACAGGATGACAAAGCTGATATGTAGCTAAGACCACACGACACCTTAATCAAAGATTTGCTGTAACACACATCACACCAGAATGATGCCTCTGACTGTGAAAAAGGACCGTGTCTGACAGTTGTAATTAAATAGCAGCGGCAGGTATTTGTACACAGCGGGGTGGGCCAGACAAGTATGATCAATTCTATCTCAAGATCACAGAGGATCGTAGTGGGAGGGAACAGACACCAGGACTGATATAATGAGACAGAAAGACTGTATGAAGAAGGTTTTTGTGTGTGTGGTGTACACTGTATATGTGGATTTTGTGTAGGGGTGTATAACATTATCAAGCTGTTGTGTGTGAGTCCTCCTGTAAATATGTGATTGTGAATCCGTCTCCCTGACAACTGAGGAGACATCTGTCACCTCCATATGGAAACAAACTGAGATAGAAGAGGGACTAATCAAAAAACACATCACATAAATGAGTCAGACAAATAAAATATGAAACCCCTAAAAAAAATATGACCCACAGATTTCAAGATTTGGAATATACAATAAATTTACAGTAAATGCTGCTCGTCAAAGCACAGTTTTAACTGCACAGTACACTTTTTTCAAAAACAGCAGGAAAGCAGAAGCAGAATCCTACAGTACCTAGTTTACATGGCTATAGACCCGTTTCGGCATTATTTTTGCTACATTACTACAGTATATTACACTGAGTATTCCATCTGTGCTTTGTGTGTAAAGAGTTGGGCTTTTGTTTGTTTGTTTTTCCTTTTTTAATTAAACTGTTAGTATCATTTGGATGAATTTTGTAAGTAGTCAGTTCCAGATTTTGTTGCATGTCACCTCTGCCTATTCATCACAGAGTATACACACCCGGCTCTGATGCACTCTCACGGTATAATGCTCACGCCAACAGTTTCAAAAAGAAAGTTTCAGAAAGTTCAGCTCTTAACTGTCTGCAATTTATTGTATTGTAAAATTCATCTTAAATGGAGGAAACTGCTGTTTTTACTCATCAGTCTACATGCAATAGCAAAGCAGAAACAAGATTTTAGAAAATTTTGCAAGTTTATTACAAATAAAAAACTGAAATCTCTCAATTACAGGCTTGGTGTTTGTCCTGATATGCAGGGTGAACTGTGGAACCTTGTATGCAAGCCATGAAGTCCAAGGAACTCACTGTAGTCCTCTGTGATCAAACTGTGGTGAGACATAGCTCAGGACTAGGGGGTAAAACCATTTTAAAGCTCTGAATGTTCCCAGGAGCACAGTGATCTGAGTAACTGTGGAATGGGAGATGTCTGGAACCATTTGGATACTGTAGAATTGGCCACCTGACCAAAATAAGTACCTGGGCAAACAGGGCCTTGGCCAGGAAGGAGACAATCCCTGGCCAAGTGTGGCGGTGGCTAGATGGACTTTGAGTAAAAGATAGATGACAGCTGCTTAGTGTGTGTCAAACAGCATTTAAAGGAGCCTGAGAGCATGCGGAAACAGATTCTCTGGGCTGATGAGACAAAAGCTGAACTCTCTGGGCAGAACTCCAAGCACTACAATATGTCTGGTGAACACCAGGCACTGCTCATCACCTGTTTTAGCATCCCCACGGTGAAGTATGGTGGCGGTGGCAGCAAACTGTGGCTGTGCTTTAACCCTGTAAAGCCCAACATATCAAACAATAGCCAGAACATTCTAATTTTTTTGGAATTGAGATGTTTATTAAACCTGTTAACAAAATCCAAAATATAATTCATGATTCGAAATTCAAGATTCATGATTTTTTTTTTTTTGCCATATATGCATAGACAGACAGTCCAGGCATATAAGAATAGAGGTGCCATATTATTTCGATTATTTCTATTTCTTTTGTATCACATTTGATACATGAGACATTTTTGGCGATTTTTTTCCTCACGTATCAAATATGATACAAATGGTTTTTATAGTGAAAACCTGCTCCAGGGTGCAGAGACTAAAGGTTCATCTTTCAGTACAACACTGACCTGAGGTGCACAGCCAAGACAACAGTGGAAAGGCTTCTGGACAAGTCTGTGACTATCCTTGAGTGGTCCAGCCAAAGCCCAGATTTTAAACCCCAGTGAGAAATCTGGAGAGACCTGAAGAAGTTCACAGATATTTTCCACCCAACCTGATGAAATCTGAGAGGATCTGACAAGAACAATGGGACAAATTACCCAAATCCAGGCGTGCAATACTTCTAGACTTACCCATGAAGACTCTACAACACAAGTGTGCAAAAAGTGAAAGGATCTGACAACTTGCTCAAGCCACTGTATGTGCACATGTACACCGGACAATGTCAGTCAGATTTTGTCCTCTTCGTTTTCTAGCACTAAGGACATGCACACACAGCAGTGAGTCTCACTCAAACTGTGGAGGAGGAGGCACTAAAAACTCATTACATGGACGATCAATATCACACTTGAGAAGCATGAAACCCCTCCATATCCACACCACACACACTCGTTTCATCAGCGGCCAGTGGCGGTGACAGATGACTTTTGTCAGCCTGAGTTGTGTTACCATGGTAACCATTAGGCTACCTTTCAGTATGGTACAACAGGGGTGACACACAAACACATACCAGGAGACACATTTAGATAAACTGGTTAAAGTCATGATAAAATACTACAGGTCAATATAGTCCAGCACTTTGTAGAACACAGTATTACTCATTCTAAAGCCACTTTAACTTGCTACTGTAGCTGATTTAGAGTAAATGGCTGGCGTTACTGGGCTTATCTGTGACATAATCACTAGGATAATGCTGTGATAGGGTATTGTAAGATCAGATTCAAACTTAATCCCACTAACTGAATCTCTTTTTTGGATGTGTGGACTAGGTTTAGCAGCACTACATTACTTGTACTGCCAATGTCAGTGATTTGCATTATAAACGTTACACAAGGTGAGGCCATATATCTGTTTGGTCAGTGCATTGACCATGGATTAACCCTTTGTATGAAATGGGTTATGTAAATAAAGTCGTCTTGCCTTGAATGCAATTAATGCAACACCTAGAAAACTTGAACAATAAAAAGAATGGCTCTCAAGTACAACTTTGATCTAATCGTTTGTACCTAAGAGCTGTTGAAAAGAATCGGATCTGCGACAAATGTAACATCACCGCTAGCCATCAGATGCATTATTACTACAATATCCTGTTATCCAATGTCAGTAACAACAGTCTTAAGCTTTTAACACATAACTGTCAGTCAAATCGTGATTTCCAAAATAAGGTAAATTAATATATCACCTGATATCAAGGATAATGGTTAAACATTTCAAGTTTTTGCTTTTGAAATGGTCAATTTGTTTTGGGTGTTACATAGGGGTCACATTAGGTTTTTAAAAAAATTGAAAATCTATTTTGTTTCAAGGAAGAATTCCTTCCAGCACTACAGCCCAATAAATTAAATTGCCATTACCTTTCCCAGCCCTGGCGTATCTTTGATCTTATTGGCTGCACGGAGAAGGCAGGGTGGAGCCGGAGGGGGAGCCACTGACAGGGCAGAGGTGAAGTTGGTGGGGAACAGAGGGGGGTCACAGGATGGTGATGATGACGTCACTGGCGCTGTGACTGTGGTGGTCTTCTGCTTCTTCTTCTTGGACGCTAAGTTTAGCTTTTGTGCAGCTCTGACAGAAGGAAGCAGACAGGAAGAGGAAAGAGAAGCCAGTCAGTCAAATCAATGTGTTTAAACATTTCCACTGCAAAAATACTCAAGAGTTTTAGTGGATGAATATAAAGAGATGGGGAAGGACAAGATGGTGGCACATCTGCACACAGGTCATTACATCTTTATTAGATCTAAGGCAAATGTGCTAATTAAAGAATAGTGCTCGATTACACACCCACACACATACTGGTGTTTACATATGTAGCAACATCTGGATGGGGAGGGTTCATTAGCCTTCTTGCTGCTCAGTTCCCCTCTGGCATTCAGCTAAAAAAATGTTTATATATTATGGGTGTAAAGGTAGGTCTGTGAGGTTGTTTTGCAGCCTCGGCCGACCCAGGACCTTTCTGTGCGGAGTCTGCATGTTCTCCCTGTGCCTGCATGAGTTCTCTCTGGGTCCAGCTTCTTCCCACAGTCCAAAGACATGCAGCTGTGTGTGGTTGTCTATCTTTATCAGCCCTGTGATAGACTGGCGACCTGTCCAGGGTGGACCCTGCCTCTCACCCAGTGTCAGCTGGGATTGGCTCCAGCTCCTCTCCTTATCCTCTTCAGGGTAAGCAGTATAGATGATGATGACGATATTCATATTGAACCATTTCAATACAGGACTTTAGGTTCAGAGGTGACGTGTACCAAATGCAGTCTTTAATGGTCATTGACAGCAAACAAACATATCAAGTGGTGGACCATGGCACACTGTAGCATAGCATAGCATAGCCTCTGGCTAGCGGACATCATGGCCAATGCAAACAAGAAGCCAGAGACCGAAGGCCCTTCCCATTAAGGGCTCCTGTTTGGGAACACTTTGGCTGGTCATATTTAAGTGTCTATCTACATGATTTTAAACTGGCTACGGGAAAATGCCCACAATATAATGTGCTTAATTGTGTTATACTTAATGAAAGCTTGTGGCCATCAGGGTCTCTGTCAGAAAGTTATTTCTTTAGAGAGAAACAGAGAATCTACGGTACTTATAATAATTCAGCTGAGTGATTTGCTTTTATTAGAAAAATATATTTTTTAAGTATGTGTCAGTGTATTTCCTCTTTGAGATTTAAAAAGCCACAATTCAAACTGGCAGATTTCCTTACAGTCTTAATTATGTACGGCAGCAGTATTTAAAAGATGATAAAATAAAGGCCCTCTAAAACAGCAGTGGCAGGGAGTCCTGCTCTGTTCTGATTTAATCTATCTTCATATATATTTCTAAGATCATAAAGAGAATGAGAGAGAGAGAGAAGACTGCGCACTGACACGCTCTCTGTCAAAGAGCCATATTCTCACACCACTGGCTTTCAATTAACTGCAGCAGGTTACAAAAATCAGAGCGGGTAGGAGGAGTCAGAGAGAAAAGGGGAGAGAGAGGAGCAGAAAACAAGGTGGGGGAGAAAAGCTGGCGTTGATTCAGTGACCCATACAACGGCAAAGCGTTCTACCATTTGAGTAGCTCTCCCAGGAGACCTGTGTAGGTGTGTGTTCGTGGCTGTGAATGTGTTTGTGTGCATGCACAGTACTGTACGAAACAAAGCTCCCCACAAAGACCGCTAATTGTTTTTTTATTGTGTGCAAGCTGAGCTTACAGACATGCTGAAGCAAATGAGATCAAAAGCAATAGCAGGTTTCACATGAGTGTTTAAAACCTCCCATGGAGTATGAGGATACAGCAGATTCTAAAACCTGTCCATCTGCCTTTCAGGAGCATCAGTGTACTGGATCTTAAAAATAATAAGTATTAGGTAAAGATTCCCTTAGAAAGATGTTTGAATTCAATCTACCATTTGCTTTTATGGAAAGGCTGCTCCAGCTGCTGCAGTGCAGGATGAGGCATGATGGATTCGTACATGATTACCCTGCTGTTGGAGAGTCCGGCGTCTAGCTTTTTTTCCCCCACTTGCAGCAAATCATTTTCTGCTGCACTGTCCATGTATAGCCCTTTGTGAATGAGCTGCTCACTGGGCAAAACACACAACCCTTTTTTTCCACATCAATTTCATATATTAGGGTGTAATGTTCTCCTGATCCTTGAACCCACCCGGACTGGTTGGATCTATGGTGCAATTCAAGCATGGCGCACACACACAGACACACACACAACCTAATTGGTAGCGTTTAATGACAAGTGGCCTGGGATTTGGCCAAGTACATCTATTCCAATCAAACCCTAAAGTCAAGGGCACTTGTTTTCCATCTATCTACTCAATCTCTTTTCCATCAGCTCTTCCTCTGTTACCCCCATCCTTTTATTCACACCCCCCCTTTTCCATTACCTACATTCATCCCTCCACTCGCCATCCTTCACTACAAATTCCTCTCTATAACTATCCCTTATCTTTACCTCCATTTAATTCCTCTCTCCCTCATTATTTTTTATCCTCTGCCCTCCAAATAACCACCAATCCATCCTGCCACCCATCCAGCTTTCCTCACATGTATTGTACCTCTCTTCCCCTCTGTCTCTTCTTGTCTCTCTCTTGTTATTCCTTTCTGTCTCTTCTTGTCTCTCTCTTGTTAAAGAGTGGCACAGGTCACAAACAGCACAGCTACTAACATGCTGTGGCTTTGTTTTCTTCTTCCACCAACACAAATACAAATGCTTACACTTGACATATACATACAAAGACTGACTTAAAACACTCACACACAGACACACAGAGCTGATTTATGAATAGTGTCTTGGGTTGAGTTGCTGGCTCACTAGCTAATTACATTCTATTTAACAGGCAGTGGAGGGAGATATATAGACAGAGAGCCATGTTGTGTGTGTTTGTGTGTGTCATGGGGGGAACAGAGGACTGGTTTAACTGACACTATCCATCATGTACAAGTAGGCCCCAATTGACACACTATTTCCTTACAGTAAGACAACATCGTATGGGCTGCACTGTAATAGCACACAGGCCTAAGCGATAAAATATTAATACACCACTGTGATTCAACATAGAGCTACAGTGACCACATGATCCTTCTGGCTTATGTGTATCCAGGCATAATATGTTGCTCAGTACACAAATGTACATATCTGAGCTGGTCACTCATCTGCCTGGAGATGAGGAAAAAGCGTTTCATTAAAGAGGTAAACATGTTCTAATGCAATATAAATTTACAATGCAAAGTCAGAAGTCCCAGTAACTCTAATATGAAAAAGGTCAGGACAACTGAGAAGCAAATGGACATCTTTTTCTCTTTCAAAATAAAAGGCAACCACATTCAATTACTGTTAAATGACACATGAGCAAAAAACCTGATGAGATCATGTGCTTCATGTAGTAATTAATTCATCTCTGATCACCTGTTCAAATCATCAATCAACAGCTATGTTCAGTGGACACTTACTATATCATTTAATAAAAAACTACTTTTTCAGAGGAAAACGAAGGAGAGACAGGTACACAGAGGTGGATAAAGAGACAGCACCAACCCCAGTGTCACAGCCATTCCCCAGCCAAACTAACAACGCCTTCCCAATTCAGCAACTCACCTGGGACCTATTCATTTACTCTGCTACCTGCAGCAACACACACACACACACACACACACACACACACACAGCCAAGTCCCCACAGATCCAATCCTTGGAGCAGGCAGTAAAAAAATTCCTGCACTGATAGAAACTCCCTTCCCCCAGTGAGTAAGATTTCACACACACACCTCAGCAGCATGTCTCTTTCCTCTATCCCACTGTCCCCAGAGGGCCACTACAGCACTGGGAAGATGGAGTGCTGCTGTGTGCACGTGACATATTCTTAGACACTAATGAAAGATATTACTCACTTGCACATTAGCAGAGGTAGAAAAAAGGTCAGTGAGACGTAAAAAAGGACATTTTTAGAAGAAGAGAGGTGTAAAAAGGACAATGGCAAAGAAAAAAAGCAGGAGGAAATAAAGAGGAAATGAAAATGAAGAGGAGCATGAAGGTAACAGTGAAGGGGCTGAAAGAGGAGGAGGAGGAAGAAAGGGTTCAAGTGAGAGATTTGGAGATGTGGTGGTGAACACAAGGATTCTGCCATGTGCAGACAGTGAGTACAGGGAAGACTGTGTGTGTGTTTGTAATAAGAGTCTCTGTATGCCCTCCACGTCTGAGAGTAAAGACCAAGACAGCCATGGATTTTACCAGCATTACATGACTGCATCCATCGACCATAAACACACAGACACGCAAATGCAAACATGTACACACCTGAGACAAAATAATAGGTAACAATGTGAACATTGTTTTTGTAAGCCAATTACACTGAAATCCTACTACATATAGATGGACAAATGACAGGAAAGTGCAGCCAAGCTGTGCATATGTAGAGAATGTGAAATTGTGAACAAAAACATTCAGTCAATCTGATTTTAAGAGGAAGCAGTCTAAAATAGGAGAAAAATACTGACAGCTAGACACACATATCCACACAAATATCGCTTTCCCACCAAAGGTATTGTATGTACATGGGTTTTTTTAATAACTGGCTAAACCGGCCTTTAACTGGCTTCTGACAACTTTCCCACTGCCGACTGACCTGGCTCAGCTCTCCAGCTTGTTTCCACTTTGGTACATCATATTTGACATCATCTCATTGGTGATGTCAAATGCCTTTGTCAGTAAACAGATTTGTAAACAAAGCAGCATGGAAGCTAGTGAGACAGTCAACCTTATTTCTTCATATTTACGTTTGTTCATCTTCCAAAGTATAGAAACTCGGTGTAGCCTGAACCATGTTAGAACATTGATTGATCGAAGACTGATGGAATTTATGGCTGAGATGGCAAAGAATTGCCGAAATTATCAATGGAGGAGATGAGCCTTCATCACCTCCTTGTTGGCAATTGCTGAAGTGATGATGATGTTCGCGTCACTGTGTATGTTCTCAGGTTTAGCTGAGTTTGTTTCCAAGCCCAGGCATGCCGAGGCAAAGTGGATAATGACTCTTGTCGATCGCAGAGTCATTTTTCCCAGTAGTTGCGTTCCCACTGCTGTCAAAAGTAGAGGTGTGGCGAGTTTACATGGGTGGGCAGTGGGAAAGGGGCTACAGTGACACTGCCCCACTAAACAAACCATGTTCTTTCAAATAGAAAGTTAAAGCTCATCACTCAACCCAAAACAGCTAGCTGAATGTTTGGAATATCAGCAGATGTGTTTGTGTAAAATGACCTTGTTACCTGAAAGTTCACTGGGTCAAAGAAAATAAAGGAGCGAGGTGTGTGCACATTTGTTTGTGTGCATTCAGCCTGGCTGCTGGGGCTTTGAAAAACAGACAGCACATTGTATTATCTGCAGATTAAAGAACATACACAACCAGTAAAGACAGGAATGTTTACAGCAGGAGTGAAGGTGAAATGCAGAAGAAAGGGGTCTGTGTGAAAATGAAGGGAAAACCCATTAGTATCATTTAAAATGAGATTTAAAGCAGCTCATAAGATATGACGTCTCAGCAATACTTCAGACGCTCTGACACACTCGGTCTTATGTTACCTATGAATAATTTATTCATTCATTTAGAGTTTGCCACGTTTAGTCATCAATAATTTACCCACATTACCTGTCTCTTATTTATGCTGTGTTGGTCTGCATTTCTCTAGATTTGATTACATGGTTCATTGAGGACTGGTGACTCGATTTATAGAGAAACACACCAAAAGATGAGTAAGTACTGTCATGCACAGTAGTATTCTGTTTTTCTACCGCCTTCATCTTACAGTGTAGTTTCATTCTGTTTGCTTTATTAGACAACTCGAGGGACATGACAGTCAGGATGTCTGGACTCTAGCACAAATAAGCTAGTCAGATCCTTGTAATGGTAATTTCATATAATGCTGCTAAATCCTAAGAATGTATTCATATCGGATTAAATAAAATACAGTACTGCAGTGCTGATGTTAGTATTATAAGATTCGGTCACATTCTGCACTTTTCATCAGACAATTTAATCAAACACAACTGAAAATTGTAAAACAAACAAATAGGGTCCACAAGTAAACACCCAGAAGCTAAAATCTGTGTGACACCTACTGTACTATTAATTGTGCAGCCCCATCTGATCATTAATATTAATATCAAAATAAAAGACTTGCACGATGGTGCTGTGTGGCGAGGTGATTCTTCTGACATGCAGCCACTGGATCAAATGCTCCAGGTGTGTGAGCCCACTCTGTCAGTGGCAGATGTGAGAGATGGAAATGAATCTTACCTGGCAAAGAAAGAGGCAGCTGCAGAGGTGGTGCTCGGAGCTGTGGTTGTTGCAGCCACAGTGTGAGAGGGCGAGTTTGTGTGTGAATGTGATTGGCAGCTTCAGTCAATCCTTCTCTGGAGGCCTCGGAGCTCATCTGGGAGATCTGATGAAAGACAAACTTTTTACCATAATTACCAAAACAAAAAGTGTTAGAGAATAAATTAGAAATAAAAATGTTTAAATGGACAGGGCTTGTAGATCATAGATACATGTATAGTGCAATCAGATAGAAAGCATTTACTTACTCATGATAAATGATATTTTCTATGTGTGTGTTTCATTGTGCCACCAGTGCATAAGTGTCAAATCAATGATTGGGTATAGGGGCATTTTATACAGACAGGCAACAAATGAAATGAAAGCCCAACACAAGTGTCTCAGTAAGATGTAGGGCTACCATATGCTATCAGAGCACCTTCAATGCATATGATTCACATCGATGTCATACTCATCAAATCATTCACTGACCCCTCGTGTCCTATAGATGGGAATACTGTCATTATCCTGGAAGAGACCACTCGGTTATTTAGGTTCTTCCTTTTTATCCTGTCTGTATTTGCAACATACAAGGGATGATTGATATTGGTTACTGCAGCGGGATACAGTAAATTAAAAAAAGCCCTATCAGCATTTTGTTATGGCAGCATGTTTCATTGTCTAAGACTTTTATCTTATGCTGTCTCGCTTATTCATATTCATTTCAAGTGTGTGTGTTTTCCTTGGCAGACTACAGATAAGCTCTCTCGTGATCAAAGTGAACCAGTAGAATGTTGTCTGGTTCCCAGACAGGCACAGAAAAAACACCCTCCTGCTTTAGTTTCTCTCTTTTACCCTAATGCCTTCTCCTTCTCTTTCATCCTTACCTTTCCTCTTTTCTTTTACTATTGTTTTAAACCCATTCAGCTCCATTCCCTTTGTCCCTTTGCTCTACAGTCTTAAGCTATTCACATTTGTCCTTTATTATTGAATCATATTTCATGACATTTGTGCTTTATTAGATCATATGCAGGAAAGAATGGATGGAGTGAGACGGACCATTGAACTTATAGCATGGTAAAGAAATGAAATTTTCTGTTTTCCATTTATTGTTTCATTAGATTTATGGTATAAATACAACAAGTGTGTATCCTTTCTTAGGATTATTCTTTGGTGTTTTGCTTTTATTAAATGTAGATAAACAAAATGTGGATAAAGAAAGAGATGTGTGATGATGGGCAGTTTAATGGTATGTGTCTTAACCACTAGTTCGCTGGACTACTGTATACATCTGTGTCAGGGTATCTACGTATCTGAGAAAGTGAGTACATTCATATGAATCCTTGGTGCAAATACATATGAAAGAAAGTGTACTTCAATGGCCCCAATTCTTTTAATCTCCCCTTCTTGTCATGTGAGAGATTTAAAGTTGTATTGCAGATGTACAGTAGAAGTCAGAAGTTCACATACCCCTTAGCCAAATACATTTTTCACAACTCCTGACGTTTAATCCTATAAACATTGCCTGTCTTAGGTCAGTCAGGGTCACTACTTTATTTTAAGAATGTGAAATGTCAGAATAATAGTGGAGAAAAAGATTTATTTCAGCTTTTATTTCTTTCACCACATTCCCAATGGGTCAGAAGTTTACATACATTCAGTTAGTATTTGCTAGCGTTGCCTTTAAATTGTTTAATCTGGATCAAATGTTTCGGGATGCCTGCCACAAGCTTCTTACAATAAGGTGCTGGAATTTTAGCCCATTCCTCCAGACAGAACTGATAGAACTGGGTCAGGTTTGTAGGCCTCCTTGCTCGCACACGCTTTTTCAGTTCTGCCCACAAACTTTCTGTTGGACTGAGGTCAGGCTTTTGTGATGGCCACTCCAGTACTTTGACTTTGTTGTCCTAAAGCCATGTTGCCACAGCTGTGGAAGTCTGCTTGGGGTCATTGTCCGTTTGGACAAGACCCATTTGTGACCAAACTTTAACTTCCTGGCTGATGTCTTGAGATGCTGCTTCAATATATCCACATAATCTTCCTTCCTCATGGTGCCATCTATTTTGTGAAGTGCCCCAGTCCCTCCTGCAGCAAAGCACCCCCATAACATGATGCTGCCACCCCCGTGCTTCACAGTTGGGATGGTGCTCTTCGGCCTCCCCCTTTTTCCTCCAGACATAATGATGGCCAAACAACTCAATCTTTGTTTCTTTATTTATCCAAGGAGTAAGATCTTTGTCTCTATGTGCAGTTGTAAACCATAGTCGGCTTTTTTATGTCAGTCTTGCAGCCATGGCGTCTTCCAAGCTGAGCGGCCTTTCAGGTTGTGTCGATATAGGACTCGTCTTACTGTGGATACAGATACTTTGGTACCTTTTTCCTCCAGTGTTTTCACAAGGTCCTTTTCTGTTGTTCTGGGTCTGGTTTGTACTGTTGGTACTGCATCTCTAGGAGAGAGAACGCGTCTCCTTCCTGAGTGGTACAATGGCTACGATGTCCCACAGTGTTTATACTACCGTAGTATTGTTTGTACAATTGAATGTGGTACCTTCAGGTGTTTGGAAATTGCTCCCAAGGATTAACCAAATTTGTGAAGGTCAAAAGTTTTTTTTCCTGAGGTCTTGGCTGATTTCTTTTGATTTTCCCATAATGCCAAACGAAGAGGTACTGCGTTTGAAGGTAGGCCTTACAATACAGCCACACATGCAGCTCCTATTGACTCAAATGATGTCAGATAGCCAATCAGAAGGTTCTAAAGCCGTGACGTCATTTTCTGGAATGTTCCAAGCTGTTTAAAGGCCCAGTCCACTGAGTGGATGTAAACTTCTGACCCACTGGAAATGTGATGTAGTGAATTATAAGTGAAATGATTTGTGTCATGCCTAAGTACACACCCTAACCAACTTACCAAAACAAGAGTTTGTTAAAATGACATCTGTGGAGTGATTAAAAATACAGTTTTAATGGATTCAGCCTATGTGTATTTAAACTGACTTCAACTGTATGTCTTTTTTAGGTGTGGAGTATGTCTGTCTTCATCAGTGTGAGCCTGGGAGCTGTGGGTAGAGTCACACACCCCCTTGTTTTTGTCACTTACTGGAAACTACACAGACTTACCTTCATTTCCAGGAGCCTTACCCTAACCTTAACCAAACCCAGCATTTGCTTTAACTTTACATCACATCGTTTTCATAAAATTCAACAACCTATGTCATGGGGACCAGTCTCCAATCTCCACAAGTGATGCTGGTCACCATAAAGCTTGTGCTCTCCTGTTTTTTCCATCCCCAGAAGTATAGAAAAACAAGGCCCCACATACAGACATGCACACACACAGAGGCATTTATATGACAATTTATCAGCTCTGAGAGTGCAGTTTGTCACTGTGCACAGATGTATGTGGATTGATGTGTCGCTGTGTGTGTCTGTGTGTAGGTGGCCCATTCATGAAATAGATATGGATTATTGATTATAGTTCTTTATGTGCTGCCAGCAGCCAGAAAGCAGAGCACCCAAATCATAACCCCACACTTCCACAAGGGAACTATATCTTGTGTGAGAGTTAATCTACAAGCATGTGTATGTCTGCTGTGAATGTGTCTGCGTGTGTGCATGTCACTGCACATCTTTGCACCTGGGTGTACAGTATATGTGTGCAAATCAATTTCGCTGTGCGTGTAATTACTGCTGAGAGCTCCTGGGGTCCAAGCACGCAGACCAGTGCCTTGATAAATTACCTACTGTAAATAAGATGCCTCTGTATTTTATATACCAAACTCCTCTGTGCATTTAGATACTCAGACTTGGCTGCTACCCCTGTGTCATTAGAGGAATCATGAACTTATGGAATAAAGGTTCAGTGAGATGCATGGAATACCTGTGCATTTGTACTGGTTACTCATTTATCATTTATAAAAAATGGCCCCATGAGTGGTTTTTATGTTAGCTGAAAACTGGAGGTGGTTGAACATTATGTGGCGGTCGGCCTTCTTGGAGCAGCTATGGTGTGTAGCAGGTACCTATCTTAGGTTAGTGTGTTAGTATGACACATCCATTCATAAATCCACATTGCTATTATGACTAAAATAATATGATGAGATTTCTCTTGATCTGAAACAGTGGTGTGCTGATGGGTAATTAGGCCTTATGCCTCTCATTAAGCAGATGTGTTGTCTGAGAGCTGTCACATTAGTTCTGCATCTAGACTGCCGCATGGATAGCATGACAATTCAGATTCAAATCAGTATTACTGCATGCTCACTTGGCTAGTGCATATAGGTGGATTGTATTTAGGGTAATGTCATTTTTTAAATAAATGAGTATTTTGTTGTTGTCACACTTGTTCCATTCAGATTTCCACACAGGACATAAAGGCTGAGGTGCTATCGTTGCATTTTATCATAGATTAGGTTAAATTACACTGAATGGGATTATAATGATCCCTGGGGGAGTATTAGGTCATCGCAGCAGGAGAGAAAGGATGTAGTAACAGAACAAATCTAGATTACTGGAGATACTACAACAACTGAATGTGTTCAAAATAGTACAACAAATAGAGAAACACAACACGTCACAATGTTTTCATAGAACATCTGGTGCTGAGATTGTACCTGTCACTGTGGGGCTTTGATTAATGTGATATCAGGCTTCACCAGAAACACAAGGTGAAGAATAAACACACACTTATTCCGTCACTCCCACGCCTCCTATTCCGCAGTACTACACCACTTACCCACAGCCCTGTTTCTCCGCTCTTAGAAAAAGGTAAAAGCTGGCTCATTCATCTTCATTACAACACAAACACCATTTCCCCAGTATTCACCTTCCTCATCTGTCTCTCTTACATTTATTTAATTTCTCTGTCCTTTTCCAACCACATGCTATGAATTTGTCTGAAATTTCAGGAGACAAGTGATGTGGTTGTGTCCACGTATGTGTGTGGTCCTGCCTGCTTTTATCAGGGGGGAACAAACAATCTGTAAAACAATCTAGAAAAGAATGGGGGGGGGGCACAAAAAATAAGTAATTGAGCAAATGGAACAGGATGTTTATTTATTTCACATTGGAGATAGAGTTGTGGAAACAGAGAGAGTGTAGGTAAGTACAGAGGACATAAAGCAGTCATGGAAAGTAGACAATATACATATGGAAATGAAATGTAGAAAGAGTGGAGGCAAAGAGAAAAAGAGAAGAGTGGGAGTAAATTATACTTTATATGGAAAGAGAGCAAAGATGAAGCAGAGGAGGGTGGGAATGAACATTCTTTATATAAACATACTTGTGTATACAGTATGTGGAGTAATCAAATTTGAAACAGCTTCAAGGCTACATATGGTGAAAATAATGAAGATGACAGTGACAGGAAAGAAGAGCGAAGAGCAGAGATGTTCTTTCTGACATGTGACTAAATAAATTACACACCATGCTGCTCTTTGACTTTCCCCACCCAGATTTATCAGGGCCAGTCCAGGGACTGATCTGGCAACTCTCTGGATACCCAGTCCTGAAGGATATCCAATTAAGACTGACACTGTTTGGAAGTGGAAATGCATCTTTTATTTTATACTGTATGCACCGTGGGTGTGAGGACATTTTGGCAAACTGAGATTATTTTGATCCGTCCTCACTTTAGGGCTAGGTTTTAGGATTAAAGATAGAATAGGGTTAGTTTAGGGCATGAGTAAGTGTTGGGGTTAGTCATTTCACTGTAATGGTTGTAGATAGGGTGGCCTGGTGGATCAGTGGTTAGTGCTGCTGCCTCACAGCATGAAGGTTAAATATCCCACAGTCCAAAGACATGCAGCTTAGGTTGATTGGTGACTTTAAATTGTCCAAAGAAGTGAGTGTGTGTGGTCGTTTGTCTACATGTCAGCCCTGTGACAGACTGGGTGCCTATGTGGTAAGTGGACCCCGCTTCTCACCCAATGTCAGGTCTATGTAGTAGGTGGACCCCGCTTCTCACCCAATGTCAGCTAGGATTGGCTCCAGCACCTATTCAGAATAAGCGGTATAGATAAAGGATGGATGGCTGAGGATGCTTAATGTCAATGAGTGTCCCCACAAAGATACATGTGTATATGTGTGTTGTATCACATCCTGTTACTTTCAGCCAGATAAACAATAACACATACATGGCAGAATAGGAACGCTAATCTAACCAGTGTTGAAATCAACACAGACACCGTATGTTTTCAATTAGCTGCTTGAAGGACGACGCGAGGGCAAAGAGAGAACGTTAGACTTTTCTCATATGAGAGAGAAGAGGAGGAGGCTGGAGGGAGGCCAGTCACCTCTATACCTCCACCATCATCATAAAAGGCCCCAAAACCAATGAAGCATTGTTGATACTGATTTGATAGTTTTTTTTATGATTTCACTTTACATTTTCTGCCTGTGAAAAGATGCAGCATTGTGAGTTACTCTAGAAAATGTTTGCTACCTCCAGTACCTCACTGGTCCCAGTGAGCTACTCTACCTGGGAGAATCACACTCTGTTATAATTAGTCTTCTTTGTTCTGACTGATGGTATTTCCAGTTGTCCTTGACATCTTGTGGGGAAAAAAATAGTCCTAATAAATACAGAAAGTGGAGGTACTGTAGTCACCTCTTAGACTGCTGACACAGCAAGATTTTAATGTCAGCTCTACTGGCAGACATTTGGCCTACTTTCTCTTTCTCCCTCTGCGACACTTCTCTTTCAGCTCTCTGTCTTGTTGTGCTGCCCATAAAGGTCAGTTGAATGGTGATTTTAATCATTAAAAAGAAATAAATCACATACGACCACACCAGTGTTGATCCTGGAAGAGTAAGACATGCACCAATCAGCCACAACATTAGAACGTGTCTAATATCGTGTAGGTACTGTCACAACACCTCTGATCCGTTGAGAGATAGACTCCACACAACCTCAGAATGTGTCCTCTGATATCTGACACCAAGATGTCAGCAGCAGATCCTGTAATTTGCGAGGTGGGGACTCCACTTGTTTTTCCAGCACTCAGTGGAGATCTGGGGAATTTGAAGGCCAAGGCAACACCTTGGACTCAGTGTGACGTACAGGGCTCATTATCCTGCTAAAAGAGACCATTGCCATTAGGGAATAAAGTTGCCATGAAGGGGTAATTGGTCTGCAGCAATGTTTAGGTAGGTGCCACATGTCAAAGTAACATCCACATGAATGGCAGGACCCAATGTTTCCCAGCAGAACATTGCCCAAAGCATCACACTACCTCTGCCGCCTCGCCTTCTTCCCATTGTGCATCATGCAAGTGACACAAACCCCCGGCCAGCCACGTGATGTAAAAGAAAACTTGATTCATCAGACCAGGAAACCATCTTCCTTTGTAAGACCATTTGAAAGCTCCACTGTTGCGTTTTCTGCTGTACATGTGTAAAGCAAGTCTCCATCAAAATCCAATTCTCTAGCAAAAACTGGAGGTTGCTCGTCAGCAATGTGTCCATATTACAGAATTGTCATACTCCTTTTTATGTTAAGATGCCAGATATAGCTGCTATAATAAATTTTCTTTTATTCTAAACCCATCTCTCTTGCTGTCTCTTCATCCTCTCAGTCTACATTACTACATCTTTCAGTCTGATCTTTCCTTCTTTACATATCTCTACTTTCCGTTCCCATGTTTTGATTATCACCCTGCGCCTCCCATTTCTCTCAGGGGTGAGTGTAAACGAGGGTGATTTATTATCA